AAGACCATGAGTATCGGTCTGGCCGGGGCTCGAACCCTTGACCTCCCGCACAACACAATCCGGCACCCTAACCAACCAATTGAGCTAACCAGGAGGCGGTTAATGGGTATCATAGGAGACTCAGTGTTCTGGAACTGCATGGACAGTATTTGGTCCAATTTAATTGACAAGCTTAAACCAAAAGCAGGTCTTAGAGTGGTGAAGCATGCATTTTCATGAGCAAGACACGTCACCCTCAGAGTGTTTTTCACTCTCCTGAATCATAGAAGGTTGTCAAGAAAATCTAAGAGAACTTTAGTGATACTTTGTGATGGAATGGTAACCATCCTTGTAGTCAGGGTTGTTATTAGAAGCCAATTGGTGATGGAAATCCGCCCGTTGTTAGACTATTTTATGCCGGTTACTCAATGAATTGTAATCAAAAACAGAAAATATGCATTCTTGAACTGATTCTAATATCAGTTTATGGCTAAAAAAGGTTCCATAAATAATTGTCCGAGAAAGTTCAAATTTAAAATATTGTTCTCCCAGACCCCCTAGAAGGGTGTGTTACAAGGTTGCAAGCATAATTCAATTAAGCCACCAGCTAAATTCAGATCATGCATCTTTTACATTTTCTAATGACAACCTTGCTATACAATCCTCAGGAATATGTCCACAGGGTCAATTTCAAAAATAGTTTTATCTTTTCTCTGTATTTCTTTTGTGTAGGTCACAAAGTTAGACCGTGATCCAGCATCTGGCACAGCTTTGCAAGAGATAAGCTTCTGGTTAAATCTCGAGAGAGCCTTGTTAAGAATCCAGGACATCAGGGAGAGCCCAGACATTGCACTCACCCTGGATATCTTAAAACACGGGAAAAGGTTTCATGCTACAGTCAGCTTTGATACTGATACAGGTACAGTGAAAGTTCATTTGAACTGTTTCCTTTCATTAGGAACAGCATAATGCTATGTACATCACACTTGAATTTGAATTCTACAATCTGAAGTTGTGCATGGCTCATTATTTAGGAATAATTATTTACTTAATCATCATTTCTAATTAAAGAAGTAATTTTCAGACTGCTCGAAATTTCCTAGAGTTAATCTCTTATTAATTTTTCTGGGAATGTATCAAAAACACAGTGAGCTAGAAAAACTGCAAAGCAAAATGTAACCATGTGCTGTGAAGTTTATTAGCACTTGTTTGTATCACCACGACTTAAGCATACATGAGCACTTTGATTCACTAGACAAGTATTTTACCATATTTTGTGAATCGCATTGACAATGAAATCTTCTTCCAATTTATTTGACCTTTATCTTTATGTTGAGTTTGAAAGGAGATTTAGTAGACCATTTCATGCAGGATTCTCTATCTGTAAGAAACGGCAAATAAAGGTTTAAAAGGTTTATTGAAAATCACACTGAGCCAGCCAGGATGACCGAACTATGTGCTGCTCCGAGAAACCACGAGGTCCTCGCACATGCTTGGAAAATGACCCATACAAAGCTGATTGACAGAATCAGAATATAGGATTATAAAAAGTCACAGAACTTGTCACACTATCTACATGTATAACAAACGTTGCTGTTAACTGAGATATGTATTCGATAGGGTACATTAATTTGATTTCTTCTCTTATCATTGAAGGTTTGAAACAGGCCTTGGCAACAGTGAATGACTATAATCCACTTATGAAGGACTTTCCTTTGGATGACCTTCTGGCTGCAACAGAACTGGACAAGATCCGAGCTGCATTGAGTGCAATTTTTTCTCATTTAAAAAAGATCCGTAGCACAAAGTATCCAATCCAAAGAGCTCTACGTCTTGTAGAAGCAATCTCCAGAGACCTCAGTTCACAGCTTTTGAAGGTACAGTTGTGTAGATTCTGTCTTGTCTCTTGTCAGTGAGGGGTAAAAAAACATTTTACCTGTTTTTGTGATGAGCGATGGACATTAAAAGAACTCTGAGTCTGCTGTAGGGAATTAATGATT